CACCTTCCATGAAGCTGAGGAGTAACTACAGGTTTCTTTTTCTGCTTCAGCTCATTGTACTCATGCAATCCGAGGACAGCACCTTCTGCAGCTGCCTGAGCATCTCCACATGGGTCCACTTCAACACGAGGGATCTCCAGATCTTGGATCTGTCTACATCCAACTGGAAAATACAGCAAAGTACTAACAGGCTACTGCGTAGAGCAAGTATTGCACAGAACAGCAAAACAGGTGCCTGAGGTGATCAACGTAACATTCAGAGGAATAATTAAAAAAACCCAAAAAACTAGTTTTTCCTCACGGTATCTGCATTTACAAGTAAACAACTAAAAAGATCATGCAGCAGAACAATTAAAACTGCTAATGACCATATACTGACAAATTTTGACCCCCCAGACCCCCCAAAAACAAAAGCAAACTTGATAAATGTTAATGATTCAGTCAGTTAGCAGGAATACAAAGGTCCACAGTTGTCACGATTCCCTAAGATCACCCCACATCAAAGAAAAACTACCATTGTGGAGCACTGTGGGTTATGAGTATTTACAGGTATCAGAAATTTGCTGCAATATAGTTTCCTTCCCATCTTTTCTTCCAAATTATATTATACATGCTTTTATAAACTGTAAGCAATATTAATATTTTGCACCCAAAGAATTTAACAGTGGGTTGGCAAACGGTGAGACAATAGGGGCTAGCAGTTTGAACACACTGCTTTCATGTGTGTGACTGACCTCCCGTCTCAGATTATAAATTCTATGGCAAGGACTCATTTTATTGTTGGTTTATACAGACTTAGACATGATATAGCACTCATCCTTGATTAAGATAGAGAACCTCCAGGGAGCAAATTATTACAAATAATTGATTTGCTTATAAGGAGAGTAAGATGGGTTTATCTGGTATCTGCAAACTGAAATTCCTGAAAGTACTTATCAAATTATAGAGCACCTCACAGTTACGTCTTAGTGCACATGTATGACAATTTCAGTAACACAAGAGAAAGAAGAGGCTTCCTGTGCCTACAGGATTCCTAATGTAAGGAATCTTACATTACTGACATTGTGAAAGATATCACAGTTTGTAACCCAAACATCTCATTTACAAACTAGAGTAGCAAAAGCAAATATATGTGCATACTTGAGCACAGTGTGAGCATAAACTGAATCAATTTCAGTGACGCTCTCAAGCTTCAAAACAGTAGTGCCTTTTTCAGTATCACACTGTTTAAGAAAGCTATTAGGATATAAATAACTGGAATTACCTGAGCAGATTGATTTACATTTGGCCTGGTGTCTTCACAATTATAAAGAACAGATTTCAACGAAGGATGCATTCTTGCAAAACAGCTGCCCTATAACTCCATCCTCACTAAGGAAAAGCTTTGTGAATGTCAACGACAAGTGAGTGGATTTCCCAAACAAGGCAGAAACTCTTGCACTTCAAAACAAAAACATAGCTAGACTTGCTCGTCAAAAATGGAACATGCTGCATCCTGACAAGTTTCACAGACAAAATATTAAATTAAAAAAGAAAAAAAGAGGTTAACCTGCAACAGCTGCACGAATGTTTTCTTTGTCTTCATTCCAGTTTTCTTGGTCATTTACTCCAGCATTCTTCTTGCCCAAGCCAACTACAACCACACTTGGAAAGTCCTATACAAAGCCAACACACAAATGCATTCACTCTTCTCACTGTTACAGCTGCAGCAGACAGTGCTATGAGATCTTACTTTTCAAATCAAACCAAATACAGCATTAAATGCCGTACTCTCCACGTAAAGCATGTTTCTACGTAAGAGTGCCAGTACAGTGCTGCTCTCTTGCATTCTCAGTCATTTGCCACAGGCATACAAACAGTTGTTCTGTTGTCCAGTTAATTGTTTGCACTGCAGCTGACAGGTCTTTACGCTCAACACATAGCAAACTTGAACTAAGAGTCCTTTGAAAGCAGACCCAACTCCTGCTGCAGAACAGAGGCTTTCTGAGCTGGGAAAGCACAACCACTTTAAGACAGTGCTATGTTCAACATAATAAATTCACCTCGAACGCTGAGTCTATTAGCTCAGCTCAGGGCTGTGCTAGCTGTTAGCTGGGTACCAAACCAAAGCTGGACAGACATACCCAGCTCCGCAACGCGGCAAGGCAGCGTGGCACAAAAGACTAAATGCTTGCCTTAAAAGCTGAAGTAGAAGGTAAAATGGAAGAAATGACAAAGATGAAAGAAGCCTTTTAAGAATGAAGTCATATTTGTGTAAAACCATCCTAAAGATTATGTATGCAAATAGATTTCCCCTTACTCTGAAGAAAAATGAAGTTAATCTTAGGCTTTCCCTTACACTTCCATCACAAACAGCTGCTCTTCCAGTTTCTAATAATCAGCTTTCAAACTGCCACCCCATAGCACAAGATGCTGCAACTAGGACAAGCTTTTCAGAAGACCAATGATTCAAGTTATCCTTTTTGGTTATCATTGTTTTATACCCTTGGAAGAGTGCATAAGGCCAAACTCCGCTGCCTTCTCTTGCAAAAATTTGCTACTCACTTCAGAGGCCATCCTTTATGCAGAACTGGGATAACAGGACCTTCAGTGGACTCCCATGAAATTCATGAGAGCCTTTTTACTGAGTCCAGCATCACCTGTCCGGGGTCTCTGTATAGGAATTTATACAAGGTGGACAATAACCACTACAAACTGATTTATTTAAAATCATTTAAATGGAACCAACGTAAGACGTAGTTATCTATACAAGGACTACTACTGTCACATTAGATGTCGTAGGATGGCCTCGAGCAGCACTCCAAAAAGGCGCAAGTCTTACAACTTGGCACCTCCTGCAGATCCATTAGATGTGCTAGGTGTCCTCACATGGCAGCAAAAGCCTCGCTTTAAGCATGTGAGTCCCATCACATACCCTTGTGATTATCATGTTTGTGCAGACTAGAGTCCTGCTTGAATAACAGCTGCACCTCTTGTTTTTGTCTTCAAAATTTTAAAACATTAAAAACAGTAAGGCTTTAAAGCCTCTGATGTCTATCAGTCTATAATGGAACTGGCCATTACCTTGTGTTAAAACTGCCATGTCTGCAAGGTCTTTGCAGAGATCCACACTCATACACGCACTTGCTCCTCCTAGAGATGGAGGATACGTTACGTGCCTGATCCAAAACTGCTGTGCTTTAGCTAATTCAGTAAGCCCTGCTGAGAGTACAGCACCTTCGGAGCAGGACTTGTTTACATCTCTCAACTTGCAGCGCAGTGAAGAGAGCACACAACTGCACAAAAGACCATGCAAACACGGTGACCACAGAACAGGGGAAAGTTTTCAGTACAAACCACATCTTTTGTTGGAGGTGAGAGGCAGAAAGGGCAGAGCTGTCTCACTGATACTAGCAGAACCCTGAACTCAGCTTAAAACAAGATGTAATGGCAAATCTCAGACATTAACAAATAGGCACATAAAAATCCAGCGTTCATACCTGATGCAAACCATGGAATATACGTGTTTTGCCTTTCTTCAAAGGTGGCCCACATCTAGAACACAAAAAGGTTCTTTCAACAAATGTTAAGTCCTTACAGGAATAAGTCTTATGGCAAGAAGTTCATTCCACAACCACCCAGCGCTCCTTTACACTGTACTGGGACACTTGGCTCAGTGCTGATTCACAGGAAAGGACACTCTCCAGAAGCATTTTGCATCTATTGCCTCTGTGCTAGGCTTTTCACGGGGGTTCCCCTCTAAACTGCTCGGCCTGGTAGATGCAAATATCAGCCTTAAAAGCAGTATGGCTACAGATGCTAACAATAAGCAAAGAGACAGCCTCATGCTATAAATGACAGTTATGGGTACTTCAGTGCACTTCAGAAACTTGTGAAGCACTTACAGCGACAGAAGTTCTCTCAGCTTTCCAGACACGAGTCTATCAAAAGCATCTCCTGCACTCGTGAGCTGAGGAGCACCTTCATCCTTTTCACTTGAGTAGATTCCCAGAACAAGGCCCTGGAAAAGGATACTCGTTAACGCAAATAACACAAAGTTTAGAGACCGACCCGAAAGGCAGCAAGCACGCAACGTTTAACCCGCATCTACTGGAGTCGGTTTATGTACTCAAGTCCACGGGCGCACCAGGCCCGTGAAACACGCGGTCGCGCTTTGGTAAACCGGGACAAAAGTGCGAAAAAGAAAGGAGACTCTGGCCCCCAGGGCGGCTCTGAATTCAGGCAGGGGCACGGCGGGGGCGCGGCCCTCCC